CAGAATCCAGACCGTTTTGCAATAAGGATATAATCAACTAATTCAAAATAGCCTATATATTTACTACCCTCGAATGCCTCCAAGGAATGCTGGAATTACACTTGCTTAAATCAGTCATTTATAATTCTAAGGAATTTAGGGAAACAACACCACGACACCTCTGAGAAATCCTATCTCTTCCATACGCGAGTGACCAGTGGGTTACGCTGCCCACCGTTGTTGGATTTACCATTAAATTTACCTCTAAGTATCTGTGACTGTAATTACCAATTCGATTGACACCTACTAGGATAATAGATTATTCATACAAAAGCCAAAGTTTCCAATCTACTCAACCATATCTCACCAAAGGGTCAAATACACCAATATTTGAAATACTGCTATCTTTTCCCTTGATTCTTGGCTTCAATTACTGGATAAGGATTGTGTTTTAAACATACACGATTCCCCACGTGCTGTCTTTCCAAAAGTAAACGAAACAAAAGAAATTCACTCTCTGTACGTCTGTGTGTTTTTGAGGGTTTCCCTTACGGATCCGCCGCCAGGGGTAAACGTCAGGCAGAAGGCACGCTGCCTGGTTTCCTTCTAGTCACACAGTGCTCTGCTCCTGGTTTTCAAGTTGAGAAAGAAATTTCAATCCGCCTCTCCGATCGCTGGAAAGAAAAGCTTAAACATAACCCCTCTTCTCTTCCGGAGCTGACTTTTCAAAATTGTCATTTAAAAGCACATTCGTGGCAAAGCAGGAGAGCAGCGTGCTTAAACTCTGACTTGGGTAGACAAAAGCCGGCACATATCTGGCCCTCGCTGTCCCTTAATCCCTGAAGTTTCACACATAAAACAAAACTAACAGCTACTTCTTGAAGAGCAAGTCAAACACAGCAGTTATGAACAAACACCCTAATAAAAAACCAGTTTGGGCTGAGATTTCTTCAGAGATTAAAAACCAAAAACAGGTCAAGCAAAGCCAAGGATCTGGAAGGAAAGAGGACATTAACATCGGTAGTTGGTTCAGCAAACGGAGGAAAAGACAAAATGCAGACCCGTGTTTACAATGGGTTGTTTCATTTAGGAAAACAGTTTCCCGAGGCAGGCAGATCTAGCAAGTGTTGCTGGACATGATACTCAATACTTGAAAATTTCATGGAAAGCAAAGAAAGCCTTGGAAAACAAAAGCAGAACACAGTTGGAAGCAGGTTTTTGGCTCCCCGTGCATTCAAGGCAATGCTGCATTTACCTGGGGCTTCATAAGTGCAGATGCCCATTAATACCGAGTTCTCCCTTCTGCCCTTGGGATCCCCGGATGAGGGGAATGGGGGCCAGCTAATCAGGATGAGCTTGGCTGTAACACAGCTCCGGCCTCCTCTCCCCAAAGTGATGTGGGCTGTGGTCCTCCCCACTTAGAGGCATCTCACAGGACACTTCCCAGCTCTAAGATTTTTCTAGGAACAGGCTGTGGCTCCTTGTCAGGCAGCCTGTTTACCATTTAGGAGGGAAATGACCTCAGGTAAAAACAGACCGGTGGCCTCTGGAACACAGCACCCTTCTCACAAAGGGCTTTGTGCTTCCTTCTGACTGGAAGTTTTCCACTCATGAGGCCAGGGAAAGCTTTTAAGGCACAAACAATAGAGGTGAAGCAAAGCTACTAAATACTAAAAGCTCATCAAATAGATCAGTTTATAATAAAACTATGCTAGGTCCCAGGACAGAGCACAGGAGGGGGGAGGCAGAACAAACAAGCAAGTTACAGATTTTGTTCCTACCTTGCATAACCTGAACCACCCCATCAACCCTGTGTGACCCCATAAATAAAGTGACTCACAGAACTTCTTGTGTGTGATTAGCTCCAAAAAGGCCAACCAAAGTTTGTTCTGAGCCATCAGCCACACAGACATGTCCTGAAAAGGTCTACAAACCACAGCCTGCCTGCGTGCAAACCACGCATGTGCTGGTTCCACCCGCTTCTTGCCACCTGGCCATGCTGGGGTCAGGCTGATAATACACGAGGCAAACACGACCTTATTTCACAAGCAGAAAACCACACAGCTTACTTTTGGGGCAACCCTCAGTTGTGCTGCTGTGGACAAACACAGCGTTATCCAGGGACCCACATCCAAGGGTCACCCCACCACTGACGTGAGAAGTGAGATCTCCCTTTGGACTGATAAGAGAGCTGGTCTCAGCTCCACAGCTGCAACGAGGGGAAATTTTGCTCTGCACCAGGCTTTGGGGATTCTAGAAACCAAAATCTTTTTAAAGGGCATAAGCCCTTCATAGGAGACACAGTGACTCCTGCCAACCGAACCTTCTGTCTTGTAATGAGAAGAAAGCTCCCTCCAAGGAGCATTCCATGCAGTTTTCATCAGGAACGCCTCCGCACTGCGCATGCACATGTCTAGAAGTTTAAGATGCGGCCTGCACACGACCGGGGGGAAATTTCATTAAGTAGTTGGCTTCAGCTTCTGAGTTCAAAGTCACGAAATACTTCGCCTTTCAGGGAAAGCAAAAGATCACTTGGGGACTGGTTAGCACTTTTATTCATCTCCAATAACAAACTAACACTAACATTTATTTCTAAAAACGACATCATTTATAAAGGATGCAATCATTGAATGAAGCCTTTGCTCATTAAGTTTATAAACATGGAAAACTTGAGCTTTCAGATGATTGTAATTTGCTAATTAATGCCCTTTTTGTGAACTTGGAGCAGAAGAGGCCTTCAGTGTGCACGATCCTCACTTGGGGGAAATTCTGCTGCTAATTTTTAATTAATTTGTTTCTGAGCATGCTGTGCACCCATGCCTAAGTTTTAGAGAAGTGTGTGTGTGTGTGTGTGTGTAGAGTTCTTTAGAGCCACAAAGCACAATATTATAACTGTTGAAGAGCAGATTGAGACTAAAACCAATATTCCAAAATTGGGTAAGAATATAAAAATTTTAAAAGAAAAGGCAAAGGATGCGACTGACAAAGGTTTAATTTCCAGAATATATAAACAGCTCATACTACTTAATAACAAAAAAACAAACAACTCAATCCAAAAACGAACAGAAGATCTAAAGCAATTTTCCAATGAAGACATACAAATGGCCAATAGGCACATGGAAAAATGCTCAATATTATCAGAGAAATGCAAATCTAAACTACAATGAGGTATCACCTCACATCAGTCAGAATAGCCATCATTAAAAAATCCACAAAAGATAAATGCTGGAGAGGGTGTGGAGAACAGGGAACCCTCCTACATTGTTGGTAGGAATGTAGTTTGGTGCAGCCATTATGGAAAACAGTATGGAGATTCCTCAAAAAAATAAAAACAGACTTACCATATGATCCAGCAATCCCACTCCGGGGCATATATCCAGAGGGAATCTTAATTCAAAAGATACATACATAGCAGCACTATTTACAATAGCCAAGACATGGAAGCAACCTAAATGTCCATTGACAGATGATTGGACAAAGAAGTTGTGGTATATTTATACAATGGAATACTGCTCAGCCATAAAAAAGAATAAAATAATGCCATTTGCAGCAACATGGATGGAACTGGAGATGGTCATTCTAAGTGAAGTAAGTAAGTCAGAAAGAGAAAGAAAAATATCATGTGATATCATTATATGTGGACTCTTAAAAAAAAAAGAAGACACTAACGAACTCATCTATAAAACAGAAACAGACTTATGGACATAGTAAACAATCTTATGGTTACTGGGGGAAAAGGGGTGGGAAGGGTTAAATTTGGGGGATTGAGATAGGCAAATATTAACTAATATATATATATAAGTAGATAAAAAAAATTTCTTCTCCATAGCACAGGGAACTATATTCAATATCTTATAACAACCTTTAATGAAAAAGAATATGGAAACGAATGTATGTACGTATATGCATGACTGGGACATTGTGCTGTACACCAGATATTGACACATTATAACTGACTGTGCTTCAGTAAAAAAGAAAAAAAGAAAAGGCATGGCAATTATTTTTATGTGATTCATTTCCTTTTCAAATCATAGCTTTCAATAAGCAATTTTTATGCTGGTAAATTCAGAGGTCACCTGATACTTCTTTTTTCTCCATCCTCATTTCTGATTTTAAAGAATAGAAGAACTCATTAGCACAAAAAAATGAGTTAGGTTTTCTTCCTGATCTTTATAGAGCCTTTCATCCAAATGAAATTTAATTAAGTTTAATACTGATATGGACATATCAGAGGACAGAAAAGTTAAAGCAAAAGGACAAGCAATTTGGTTGTTTATATGTTTATTTTGGTAAACTTTCTCTAGCTGAGTGCGTGCGCATGTGCGTGCGCATGCATGTGTGAGTGTACACACCTTCTGGGCGTGCCACAGCCTACAGGGCAGGTGTCTCACTAGGAACATCACCTCTGCTGTTTGTCATCATGAAGCTCACAGACGTCTTGTTGTTTGTAATAAGGCATTGTTGACATCCACTGAAAGGCACATATTATAGGGTAAACAACACATTCTACCACTAACCCTGATTTAGTGCCACATGTTAGGTGGTTAGACACCTAGCAAGTTCTGAGTGGGAGCGGGGGAGATCAGGAAAGGGCAAAGCTTATTAGCACCCTGCCCAGAGAGGGCACAGGGCTGGGAGGGCCCCGGAGAGGCCTGCACACAGTGGGGTGGGGGGCCAAGCGCTCCACTTCACTGACCCCAGTGAATCCAGTAAGGGGGTGCTTCTCTGATGGGCCCTGGGTGACAAACCTTTGTGGAACCTCTCCACACCAACCCCTCGACTGTCCCAGGCCTCCACCTACGATCTCGCAACGCTATCTTCTAAACAAATGACTCCCAGGCCTGGAACTGAAGCCACCACACACCCTAGTCCTGCCATAAGGACGCCTCCCTCCATCCCGTGCTCCTGCACACCAGGCAGGAAGACTCTGCTGTGGGGTCCAAAACCCAGTGCAAACTGGCTTTCCTATTTTCCCGACTGAGGGCTTCTCCACCAGGGACCTGGCAGGAGGAGCTGACCAAGGAAAGCTGCTCAGAGATGCATGATCACACACTTAGATTCAAACTCACAGCTGCTAATAGGGACGCTTTCACACACACTGGAGACAGAGATCTTAATTCTGAGGATGGAAGGCTGTGACTGCTGACAAACTTTTCTGACTAAAATTGTTCTTGGAAGATTTAAATAATAATTTTCTGGGAAAATGACTTCACTATCGAGTTCAGTGGCTCCTGAGTAGCAAGAAATTTAGTTAAATCCCAATTTTCACTGCTAAAAGTACTGTAAGTTGAAAATAAAATTCAATCACTTTATTAATTCATTTAAAATGTTTAGGTGAGAAGTTTAGGAAGAGGGTAGTCTGATTTCAAACCCTTTATTCACATATTTTAAAGAGGTCATGAAGAAATGGGAGAAAACAGAATATAGCCAATATTTTATAACAACTATGACTGGAGTATAACCTTTACAAATTACGAGTCACTGTACTGTACACCTGTAACTTACATGATATTGTACATTAACTATATGTCAATCAAAAAAAGAAAAGAAAAGAAATGGGAGAGAACAGAGGAACTTAGAAAAGGGAGAAAAATAATCAAGACACCACAGAAACACGGTCTCCCACCAACCCCTCCCAGCGGTCACTCAGGACACCTCTCTCTTCAGGAAACGGGACCCAAGGAGCCCTGTGGCCCCCCCACCAACATGCCCTCGAGAGAGCTCAACATGGCGCCCACATGAAGGAAGACGGTCTTTGGAGACCCAGGTCGGCATGCATCCAGCAACCACGTTCCAAACACTCACACCTCAGCACTGGGCAAAGGACAGAGTCTCAAAGATGCTATGAAGGTACCAACAGGTTAGCTTGTAGCCTGTAAACAGTTACAAGGCAATTAAAAACACCAGCACCCACTGGCAGCACGTGCAACGGCAGAGCGGGCATTTGAGAGGCAGCTCCCACATGCTCTGAGAGGAGAGCCATCCCACGGACCTGCAGGATAAGTGGTACTTCCCACGCTGATAAGATGGGTAAGACAGGGCGTTGGGAGGGGGGCGCTGACCTCCAGGCAGAGCGAATACATGAGCAAAGCCTAGGAGAATTGACAAGTATGTCCTGTTCTAAGCAGCTCTGAGGAGGGAGTGCCAGGAAACGAGACTGCTCGGGGAGACAGGGGCTGGGTAATGAAGGGCCTCGCTAAGACCCTGTAAGCCACTGATGTCAACACGGAGGCCAAAGGACCGCAGTTTTGTGTTAGTAACATCATTTCTGGGAACAGAAGGGATTAGGGCTAAAGGCAAAGAGACCAGTAAGAAGGATTCCAGGGGCTGCCAGATGAGAGATGGTGAGCGTCCAAATGAACACACTGCACACATACCATTTAGGAGGGAAAGTAAAGGGAGTTTGATGACTACTTCAATGCAGAGGTTTGTGCAGGGAAGAAAGTGAAATCTAGGCTCACTCAGAGGTATCTGAAGGAAGAGCAATTGGGTAAATGGTAAAACCATCACCCAAACATGTTATCTTTGAGCTGTTAGTGGAGGTAAAGAGCAGACAAACGAGTGGACAGGGCTGAAGCACAGGACAGAGTTGGGCACCAGAGATGAGACAGGAAACGTGCAAGCAGAAGCACCATGAATGTGACCGCTGAGCGGGGGGGGTGCTTCTTAACCTTGAACCATGGGCCCTTGAAATTCTGATAAATACCATGAGCCTAACCCCTAAAAAAATGCACGTCTGC